TGGCCTCGAGCAGTAAGATTCACTCGCTAATGAACTTTGATCAGGAACACCAAACTCAGCTCCTGCACTCACTTGTTTTTCTAACGTGTGCGTTCTTGTCAGTCTGACTTTGTGTCTGTGTCAGTGCCTGCTGCAGTTACAACATTCATGCCAACGGCCACTGAAGGAATATGAAGACTGTCTCATAATTACCAGATAGTATTACAGGAACCAGCAGCAGTGTGACCTGTGTGACCCATTTCCTTTAATCATGCAGGATAAACAGATCCGAGAGGGTTGTTCGAATTTTTGTTTGAAGCTTTAAACAGCTGGTTTGCATTTAAGACGTTTTTACATCATCATTAGCCAAAGACACTGTGTCAGGTGGCTGCCATTAATTATTTCCACTTTTAGAGGAGATTCTTTTTTCTAATGTTAATTAGAATAAAACTGAAAAAAAAATCCACGTAGAATCCAGAGAAACTAAAACTACAGCCACAGGGCAAACAACAGGTGCAGGCATCTCCCAGGCTGCAATCAAGACCTCAGCTGAAAAGAAGTACAGTATTTCTTTGGACTATAAGGCACATTAAGCGAAACAAAACAGTCAGATAAGTCAACTTTACTCAACTTGTTCTTTTTGCTTCTTTTACTTCCATATCATTGATTCATTAATGCTGAATTCTCTGGCAGCTGCTCTATTCCCATGTTGTTGCAGTATATTAATGACTAACATCATATTGTGGATGGATTATCTCAGTTGTTCTGACTGAAGTTTGGTCGTTTACAGCATCCTGCCATGCGATTGCATTTGTCCCTAACCATCGGAACCCTCAAGTTAACTTTTACAGAGTGGAATAAAGTTATCGTTCATCCTCCAGCTTCACTGTGTTTATGCTATGCTAACATAGCTGTGTTGCTAGCGATAACGTAGCACATCATTATATACCAGCTAGTCCAACTTCAGTAACCCTACAAACGTCACTGCTGTTTAGTTTTCTGTCTTCATTTATGTTGGAAGTGATAGCAGAGCTGTACGTTTGAATTTTTTCACAAATCTCTCAGTCAGAACATGCTATATCAAGTTTAGGTGGAAGCTAGCGAGCTAACTTCCTGCTAACTTCTAACTCCGTTAAATTTAATAAATTCTGTTTTCATGGATGCCTGGATGTTAAACTTAATTGTTACACCTGGTAAAGCAGCAACGCTGATCATTTTATTAAAGACAAAAGAAATTGCACAGGTTTTACCTTTCAGTGAGGCTGCAGTGTTTTGGACCTGAAAGGACGGAGTTTAGGACCCAGATTACTCTGGGAGACTCCTGACTACTGTAGCCGTAGTGCTCTGACAATCTATCAAGCAGTGCAGCTTCATAGCTTACCAAAGTCTTACCAAAACATTTTATGACAGATTTTTGAGCGCACAACCAGAATTCATACATAAGGTGCATCGGATTATAAGGCGCACTGTCGATTTTTGAGAAAATTAAAGGATTTTAAGTGTGCCTTATAGTGCAGAAAACACAGTAAAACCATTTCACATGAGTGTAAGCTGAGATGTGCTTAAACGAGAAGTAAAGTTCCGACAGGTGAGCGTGTTACCTGGAAGAGCTGTTTGAGAGAGAAGAGGGACCGCCGGAGTTCTGGACCCTGGGAGTTGTAAAGTTTCTCTGAAACACAAGGACAGATGCAGGAAATCACTTCATAACCAGTGGTGACATAAAAACATCAATACTGTG